AACTATATTCATATTAGCTTTTGCAGGACAACAAAGGCAGACTGAAAGGGGCCACGGTAATTCTGATGGGACTGTCACAATGGAGGAGAAGATGGAAGCAGCACTGCAGGATGCAGTGGATGCCCTATTAGAGTATATAAGGACTTACTGCTACCACCCTAGCTATAAAGGCTTACAGATAGCCCCTTTAAGAAACTTTTTAAATTAAGCAATTTAGAAGTTAATGTTGTTTTATTAGCAAAAGTAATTTTATTTTTTATTTCCAAAAAAGATGTTACTTTTGCACAGAATATATTTTTGCTATAAGAACATGCCAAACAGAGTAATTCAGCATGTTAACCTAAAATCTAATACACCACGGGAATAGCTTTAAAGAATTGTTTTTCAAGAAGAATCAGTATCTTAAACTCCCCTCTTCAGGATACATATGCTTCCTACACCTCAAGATCTCATAAAAAAAAAATAATACCAACTTTGAAAAGAATCCAAGTGTTTCATAACCAAGAGACTTACCAAAGAAGGGTCAAGGTAGCTGTGTGTGGCTGACCAGGTCTGTGGGCCAATTAAGCTGTACAATGGAAACTGCTGATGAGGACTGTATACTGGAGGTAAGTAAAAGGACGTTGTGTAACGCTGCTGCGTGTAGAGGTTCATATCCAGAGGTCTATATCCATTCTTTGGCAAAAATGTGTTTATAGCTATTGCCTTTGCTTTTATCCTTGCCTGCAAAGGAGATTAGGTTAATTATTACAGCAGCCTTTCAAATTAAATCAGGATGGTTCAAACTAGCAGCTCTCAAACTTTCACTGGACACTTGACAGTCACTGCTTTCTCTTTCAAGGAAGGCAGAAGAGCTGAATGCCTCCCTGCTGGCCAGATGCTGGGATGGATATACTGCTGCCAGAAAGGAGGAAAAGGAGAAGTAAAATGGCATGCGATGCATTTCAAACCCCATCTCCAGGTGAAAAGGCTGCCGAGATTGGACCACTTCAATTTATACCAGAAAACACAGTGAGCCCCACAAAAACGCGAACATATACACAAGTGCCCCAAAACCCCCATACAGCTCCATTTACCTTAATTGGTTTTCCTTGGAAAGTTTTCACTTCTTCTCTAAGGTATCTGTAAGCCTTTAAAAAAAAAGGTAATTATAAAATTTGTCAAATATAATTTAAACAAAGGAAACTTAAGTTTTGATAGGCTAAGCCTAACAATAATTCTTGAAGTGTCTGCTAATGTTAGACTACAGAAAACCCTCATATGTAATCTGCATTTGGCAAGATTTAAGTTATCGTTGCAGAAGTGCTTCAGTAGCATTAAAACAAGATTTTAATTCTTAACAATTAAAGCATTTCAATGTGTCATCCAAAGTATCAAAGTTTTTAGTACAAACAAACTATAGCTTTGCCCAGGAAGACAGGATAGGTGAACAGGACAAAACTTTTACAGTGTTATGTTTAATAGTATTGATAACTGGATATTAGCTAAGAGGAAGCATTACGGTTTTTAGAGGTTTAGGGATTTTTCTTTTTAAATTGTTACACATTTGTAATAAAGTTTATGACCTGTCAATCCATCCTCAACCCACCCTTGTTTATTGTTATATTCTAAAATGCTTCAAAAAAAAAATAGCGTTACCTGCTGTGCATCAGCTTCTGATTCAAATGTGATGAACCAATTGTCATTATAGGCAAACTCACAGTTGATAAACTTAGGCAAATTATCTCCTTTGAAAAGTGCTTCAACCTCCTAATGAAAGTGGGTTTAGTAAGAAGGGAGGGAAAAAGGTGGAAGAAAAAAATTGATGGACAGAAGAAAACATCAATTTAAAGCGCAGAACTCCGGAACTCCAAGTAAGAAAGATAAAAAACACTTTCAGGATTACAAAACAGAACTGAGAGGTTCAGAACACCCGCAGTAGTGTTAGCTCTCTCCAATCTCCCCACTAGCTAGACGGAACTCAAACAAGCACCATCTAAGGCCATACTGCAAGTAGAAGTTGCCTGCTCCCTTTAAATTGGGGAAGATAAGATATTTAGGCCACAGAGAGACACTTACATTTGGTATCAATGCAGAAAAATGTCTATTTCTTCCCTGTCCCCAAAGCCACGGAGCCACACGAAAACCTGTGCATACTCCATGGGACAGAAGAACCCTGCCCTTTCCGCAGAAACCTGGAGATACACTTTAACTCAAGTGTCTACAGATTAATAGAATTGAAACAGGGTTTATGTTACTTCAAAAACAATTAGCTAGTTTCTATAGAAAAAAACCCAACACTTTGGTGGTTTTTATATTTGTTTTAAACCCTTTGCATATTATTTCTGTTTGTCACAGACTTGAGGTGAGCAGCATCAAAAAGCAATGCAACTTGGGGCGCCTTACAGGATTTTGGAACTTTGCTGCTTAAATAAAGCCTGACCATGCTACGCCAGAACACATATCCTATTAAATCTGTTGGGTTAAGTCTACGTTTTTCAGTCTGGGAAATTTAAACAAATAGTGTATAAAACACTTCACTTCAGACCACCTCTTTTGAAAATAAAGGCTCCTCAGAACTTTGTTGTTGTTAAGTATTTAAAAGCAACCACACAGTGCTAATATATTTAACCCGACAAAGTGATGACAGCAAAAAAAACCCCTATAATATTAAAAGCTAGGCAGTCTTTTAAAGGTTAGATTTCATTCAGAAAGCTAAAAGCAGCCAGTATTTTTAAGCTATGTATATAGCATATCTAACTTCTTCCCTCCAATTCCTTTGAGCATTTTGTTTCATGCCCCTGTTTACTAAGGCTACTTACTTCTTTATATGTTTTAATCTGCAGTACTTTTTATTTTTGTATTAAGACTATCAAGAGCAGCAACTCTTTCAGGATCTTTATTCTTCCTTGTAAGACTTAATAGAGGAGAAATTAAAATATCTCCCTATCATCGAGAATCTGTGCCTTCTACTCCTTTTTGAAAATTCAAGATGGCTTAATCTATGGCCCAAACATTTTTTCTAGCACTTCCATTAGTCATAGTCTGAGCTACATCAGAGTTGCACGGAATATCTTCGAAAGAATCAAGTTCTCCACTCTCACACTCATTCCACAAGCCAGTGGAGATCCTCAGCAACTTATTGACACCTTTACCCTCAGCATTATGGAAATGTTTGCAAAGCTTTATGTACTTAAACTTAACAAGCTTCAAGGTGCAGCAGTGGTATTTTCGATTCTAAGACTCACTTTCCCTCATCTTCGTTTGCTATTTATCCAAGGAGCTGAGTGCTAAGTGCATATGGGCAAGCCAAACTCCAAGAAAATAATGGCATCTCTACCAAACACAGCATTGTCAGTTTTTCAGCCCTCTGCAGAGCTACAGGTTTTACCACAGTCTTCCTATGGGCAACATGTTTCTATCAAATATATTTATTATCCAAACACGTGCAATAAACTAAGGTTTACAAAAGTTGTTAAAAACTATCTAACAACGTAGTAAGAAATCTGATATGCTTATTGAAATCTCACAGAAATCTAACTTCCAAATCCTAAGGGAAAAACATTCATTACCGAACAATTAAAGACTTACTTCAATGGGGGTAGATTCAGGTACTTCACGTAAAATCACAATACAGCGATTCTGATTTGGCCTAACTTTTTCTCCTTTCTCATCCACTTGGACTAAAGGCAACGCTAAGAGAAAAAGACAAAAAAATGTATTTTAGCTGTCAGCAATCATAATAGCTTTGCACACTGAAAAATGCCATGGATATGGTTTTACAATGCAAAGCTTTTCGTGCTAAACTTAAAATATTTTTGAACAGTAAGAAACAACCAAAAGATGACTGAGGATACTTTCAGTATGAAACTGAGTCAACACATTTCTTAAAATCTCCACATTCTTCCTACTCTTCCAGCCTAGAAAATCCCAATTCATTACCTTCCTTTTCTAAGGCACACATTGAGTCATGTTCTTTTTTGATTCTTACCTTAGTGGTAACATCCAGTAGCCTTTTCTGAGAATTTAATTCATATTATTCTCGTTTACACAGATCATTACTCAATACCTCAAATGTGAAGTAGCTTTGATAAAACTGCAGTTCTATAGTTGTGATGGTCTAAAGTGGAAGCTGCTTGCTCTATTTAATGCTTTACAGAAAAAGGATGGCATTTTATTGCGATACATAACAAAAAAAAATGAAGAGAGATTGAAAATCCGGATTAATAGTCCCATGGCAATAACCAAAATGCTTTCTAGCACTGGGGGATTTTTACTTACATCTCAGCACTTCAACAATCAAATCCATATCAGTACTGAGTTTCTTGACATGATCGAGATTTGCTACTGTCATTATTGGCACATACTGATCACTGTCCATCTGTGATATAAGGTACATGTCACTGGCAAGATTTTCTCTGTTGGGAGAGAAAAAAAATGGGGAAATGTCACTTTTGCCAATAAACTTGAGACAACTCAACACAGAGCAGAAGGCAGATTCCTACACTAAATTTTGTTTTCAGCACTTTCACCAAGTCCCCAGACCATTTACTGATTTTGCTTCCTAGAAAACATGAAAAAGTCTTTTTTCCACTGCATGCAACAGTATTGGCATTTTCCTGTTCAGGCAGCACACTACCCCCACAAACATGTGATACTGTTCGCAGTTTACTACTTCAAATGACCACTGACTGGAACTGGTTATGCAGGGGTATATGGATTAGGAATTGTTCTAGGTTATTAGGACATGTGTTTAGGATGCTTTTATCTAGACACAAGCACTGAGAGTAATTAAGTACAAGTAAACTGCTTTGATGATCTTGCATCAGTCTATACTGGAATGTGTATGATTCAGAGCCCTTTATTTATTTATTTTATTTTTTAAATTGATCCTTAACTTGAAATATAAAGGGATCTACAGATGCACATACAAAAATACTAGTTTATATAAATGCAAGCTTTAAAATTATTAGCTTAAACAAAGCTTACCAAATGGCTTAAGCTACTCGGTTTTAATTTGCAAAAAACCAGTAACAGTCATAAAAAGCCACCTGATCTGTAATTGCTCGTAACTACTCTCACTTTAAAACAATGTATTTGCTAGTTTATGTTTTAGGCCCAGAGGTTTCATATAAGCTTTAAGAGGTACATCAGTATGATACTCTGGAATTTGTGTGTTATTTCTCCCAAATTCTCATCCTTTCCACTCAGTTTTAAGTCACAGCTGTGAAATATATTAGCATACGTCCCAAGTTAGGTACTGGATCTTGTTAGTTATCCTCCAGTTTGCTACATTTAGGTATATACATACCTAGATAAGCAGAATTCCAGTGTTTTTTTCAGTAATTCTCGTAAATCTTCCTGACCTTCTGGCTGCAACTGTTCGTTTCCACCTAATAATTAAAATACTTCGGTTTAAGTTTAGTTCTGCTAGATCTTAATCAAGCCATAATATCTACTACTGGCTGTATAACTACTAACAAATTTTCAAATACATTATTATTGTGTATTAGTTCAACACCCACCAAAATTGCACAGAGGAACACTTTATTAAAGACAGAAAAGAAAAACCGTATCTGACTTCACTTGTTAACCTCTGTTCTTCAAATACATAAAAATTTTAAGCAATTTTAGAAAAGCAGCTACAAACACAGCTCAAAGTAAATACTGAACTGATTTAGCTCATATATCAGTCTTTCAAGTCTTAGGACACTAATTAATTTCTAGCTGACTAAACCCTGACTAATGCAGCTGACTAATACAGCAAGAGAGCAATGTAATGGAGGCACTTCATACTTCTGGCCTCACTCTAAATTCCCAACAAACTAATTCAGAAAAGAGTTTCAAAAATGTAGTTATGAAATATCAGCAGATATCCAATTAACAACAAATGTGTGATCAATTAACAATTTCTTGGTTAAGGAGAAATTAATTTTTTTCGTATACCTGGAAGTTTCAAAATTTTCACACGGAAAACACTAATTTCATGTTTATTTTAATTTAGACCCAATATGCTACAGTCAGTTGAGGGTAAACTAATTGTGTCAGTGGGAGAACTGTTTAAAGATCAGAAGTTTAGTGTGGCTTTTAGAGATTTACAAAACATTTAGTAACATTATCTAAATGTAAATTAGTTTTTTTAAAAAAGTATTTCACACCAACTATTACCCTCTATACCCTTCCCTTCTTCAGTAACTTTCATCCTTTTCTTCAGCTCTCCTTAACCCTTCTTCTTCCTAAAGCAACTTCTAATTTCATCCCACCGTTTTGTCCTTCACGTGTTCTATTCTGACGTAGATAATGCCAATGCCTGAGAAATACACATATCATGTACTAACCACTACTTCCCTTCCCCATTTCTCTTCCTTCTTCCTTGCCCAAAACCTAGCAAAGACCAAAATTGTAGGCATTTTTTAAATAATAATTAAAAAAATAAAAGTCAGATTTCAGAGTTGGGACCACTTATGTTACTATTCATCACGTGGAACAGATCTCACCTGCTTTCAGCTGCTTTGCAACACTACTTGACTTTTGTTATAAGTTAACTATTTTGGGCACAGAAAGGACATGCTGACAAGTTCTAACACTAAGCTGAGGAACACTGTTCCCTTCTAGAGTGCTAGGCGCCATTAATATAATTTTCTACTTGCCAGTTAGTTGTTATTTAGTATTCCCCAATAGCACTCCTTAAGTAGAAGGGTCAAAGAGAACTTTCAGTTTTCAACACAAGCAAGGATGATGCCACAACTGTGATTTCAGTTGTCTTGATTTCCAACTATTATGGATGTTGCTACACTGGTCATTTTAAATACATGTTATAAAATCAGCTACGCACAACGAACAAGGAGCAGACCTCTTAAGAATCTCAAGAAATACCCAGCACATTTTCCTCTCTTTCCAATCCCTCATCTCAGATCAAGTAGTAATCCTACACGCATCTTGCAGACCTTCTGTCCCTCTCAGTGAAATATAAGCATGGCTGAATCTCTATGCTAGTTTCCAGCAGTTTCTTAAAACGTGCCATCTGGTACAGACTACAGCTACTAACAGTTGAACTGAAAAAAATCATGAGTTCATTAAAAAAGAATGCAAATAAGTTAGACTAAACTGTTGCTTATTTTGGCATTTTAAGTACAAGACTGATCTTTCTACACATTAACATCACTACTTGAGTCACAAATGATATGTGAATTTCACCTCAGTACCGAACCCAACTAGAAACAAGCAGCTTCGACAGGTAGACATTGGAATGTAGACATCTACACTACAGACTTGGATTCAGAGTAACATTTCAGAATACAATACTCGATTATATCCAGAACTTATGATTGATTCTGTGCAGTATCTCACCAGGCCTATACTCAAACAGGAGGAGATTGGTTTACAAATATGTCTAAAACCTGACAGCAAGACAGACAGGATTTTCTGGGCTCTGTTTACAGAATGCATATATCGAACAATGAAAGTGGTGTAGTTTTTTGGGGTTTTTGTTTTCTTTTAATGGATGCTCACTGTTCAACTGGAAATATGTTTTCTTTTTTTAAGCCAAGTCCAAGCAAATATTAGCTTTCTCTTACCTGTCTGGGTGGTTTCATGCATAGACTCATACTCAGAATGATCGAGAGCCAAAGGGTTCATATCTGTCTGGTCTGACACTGAAACAGCTGGTGACGGCTCCTGCAGCTCTGTCAGCACCGCGTTCTGATGCTTTTTGTCGCCATCACCATTGGCATCCAGTCCTGCAGCCGAGATGACAAACACACTCAAAAAGCATTCCTTCTAATCACAGTAACATCATAGTTAAAACTAAATCTGAAGTAAACTTGCTTACATACTTGCATTCGTTTTTTTAAACAGGAAATTAAAATAGAGAAAGTTCTCTCCTGAGTTTTACCTTTTGCTTGAGCAACAGCTAGAAATTCTTACTCGTACCTTCTTTACAAGAATCTGGAGGTTGGTCAGGTATTTCTTCCCACGTTTTGCTCACGCTACCATCAGTGGCACCACTTGCTTCCAAGTGTAACATATGATTTCCCCACACCTTTGCATTAGGATTTAACTCAGAAACCTTGGTTGACTCCTACAAAAAGAAATTTCTTTGATTATGCACTTTGTGGATGCACAGCACATATCTTTGTGTATGTACATACAGTTTCAAGTAAAAGTATCAGATGTGCAACTCAAGATTCGATTGTCAAGTTTTTCTTCCACGTCTGAATATATTAACTGAATTGCCATCTCATAATTGTTTCAGGTAGAAAAATGACTGAATTGTGCAGCACAGAATTCATTTCCCTGATTAAGAATCACCAGAAAAGTGTAGCTAAGCAGAGCAAACTACAACAAACATTTCCTTCTTCACCTTTGACACATAAACTCAACCTGCTTTTCCCCTAAACTTCAGGCAGTTCTCTAACATCCATGTTAACTCACTGTTGATTCTATTGTTATTGTACCTGTTTCTGTGAAAAAAACTTAAAAAAAAAAAAGAAAATACAAAAGCATGGGGGGTGGGTGGGTTTGGGGTTTTTTTTTGGACTTACATAAATATGTAACAATTTTAAGGAAGCATTATGGAAAGTTTAAAGCAGTGAGATGTGCACAACAACTTCTTTCATTATTTCAAGAGAAAAAACAGAACATTAACAAAATCTTAGGTTATTTTTCCTCTAGGCAGGACCAAAAGAATGAGTTAACAGATCCAGTTAAATCATCTTAATGATCATACATGATTATATATAATCATTATATAAATGGTTATATTTGCGCTTCCGAGAGATTGCTCTCTGCAGTGCCAACATCTACAATACTTTTTTGATAGTAACATGAAACAGTCTTCTCTTGTTTTGCTAATGTTTGAGCAAAATGTGTTAAGTTATTCCATACCCAGAATATCTTTGGTGTGTTTTAATATGATGATTAAAAGAAATTAGTTTTGTGAATTTAAGGATGCTAGGAATATTATAGAGTTTAAGACAGGTGCTTCAAAACTCCATGAAGCTTTAATTACTCTAAAACATGTGCACTCAGATAGTGATTATCATAGTGCATAGAAAACACACTCAGAAGGTAAAAAGATCTAAGGAGTCTCAACTTAAACACATCTACTGACTGACAGAGAAAAGACTTTTACAAAAAGTGGAAGTGTTTGACATAACTACTCGAATAGTAACAATTCAAAGCCGACAGCAAGTTCCATCAGCTTCCATTTTTAATATAAAAAGTTCCCCCAGGAGCTAGCAAACTCTGCCTCGAGTACAATCCACTGCCGGCACTGCAACTGCTGGGCAAGGTCAGAGCAGCTGCTGTAACGCAGTCGGTGTGGAGAACAATGCTAAGCGCTGGCTCTGCTCAGCGGGAGAGGAAGAGGAGCAGGAGCTGCCGCAGGTCGGCTTTGTTTCTTTCTTACCCCAGCTAGCCAAGATCCAGTCTAGCTCATTCCCCACGCTTCTCCTGCAGCCACTCCTTTCTACAGCACTTCAGAAGATCATCTCCGGAAGTGAGCAAAAGGTTTCCTAATTGCTACCAAGCAAGAACTGTAAGATTTCAGGAAATCCACAAACATTTCTTCCTACATGAAGGTAAAGAGCACTATTAACAGTCTGTAGAAAGTTGCCCTTCCGTATACTGAAGCGTTCATCTCAAGCTCACCTAGAACTGAGAAACTGCAATCGAGATATTTTGCCCAATGTTTAAACTTTCACACAGGTAAACAGAACCAAAAAGAAAAAAAAATAAAAATCAATGTTCAGCAACATTTTGAACTACTACATTCTCTAAAGCATTCAGTTTTGCAAAGAAAAGACAGAGTGGTCAGCTTCCAGACAAAATAACATATCATACCTTTAACTATCTAATGAAACCACAGTTTGACTTGGCTTATTCCGATTCCTATCTTCAGCTTTAAGCTTTAACATTAAATGACTTTGGCAGAATACTTACAAATTCGTCTTTATCTTGCCATCCCCAAGTACCAACATTTTCTGGTGCTAGCAGCTGATACGGGTATCTTTCCACTGCATATGAAGCACCTGTTAAATCTTCAGGTTCATTCTGGAAGTTTTCACTAACTACACATAGTCTGTCATTCTTCGCGGTATTGTTAGAAATTGTATTATTCCACAAAAAGCCCATCAGATATTCACCATTATCAGCAGTAATGGTGTCAGAAAATAGCTGATTTGTCCAATCAGCACTGCCAGTCTGAAGACTGATGAAATGTGACCATATTTCAACTTGGGGATTTTGTCTGTCCAGTTCATAGGAGTGCTCTTGGTCACTCGATACTTCTTCCATCAGATCTAATGCACACTGCTCACTGCCTCGCTGAAATCCTGCGGCACCAGGACAGGCACTGTGTATTTCATAGGAAGGAGTAGCAGCGTATTTGTCTACCTGCTTTGGGTCAACAAAAACTCCAGGCTCTTTGTTTGAGAAAATCTTGTGATCTGACTGCATCTGTTCCCAACTTGTGGTCAAGTCATTCATTGGAGTATTTAATATGTAACTGGTGTTTTTCAGTTCAGTAGTCTTGGCTTCTAACTGCGTTAAATTCCCCGTGGTAAAAGCTTCTAGATTCCCAGATGACATACTAAAACCAGTGAGGTTCTCCTCCTTTGACTGGACACTGAAACACTGTTTTACTTCACCATCCTGAAGATTACATTCATTTACATCACACACATGTTTTTCATGAGTTTCTGGTCCTACTTCAGAAAAAGGCCCAACAGAAACTTGGGTGTTCCCAACCTTTGGCTCTGGACTGGTACAGTGACATATCTCAGGCTCTTCCTCTGGTTTATCACACATATGAGAACATGAATTTTGACACCATGAAGGTAAACAATTATGCGCTTCATGTAAGAGATTACTGGCATCTTCCAGATTTTTAGTGTCATCTATCAATTTAACACTCTCACGCATACCATTGTCCAAAGCTACAGGTACAGTGGAGTTAGAGTAAGTACTCTGATCATGAGTCAAGCCTTTATTGCAATTTAAGATATTTTTATCACAATCAACAATGTTAGCATCCAAATTCTGTTTTACATTTTCTGCCTTGTTATGAATTGTCTCAATAAGGTGACCTTCAATTTTTGCCTGTTTTACAGATTCTGCTACATCCCTAGCTATTTCAGCTGAGTCAGTCCCTGCATTGCATTGATCTTCCACCGCATGGAAGGAACATACATCCTGTTCCTCATCTTGTCTACAGTCCACGTCCATTTTGTTCATATCCTCACGTTCCACAGACACAGAAGAGACACCGTTTTGGTTATCTGAATTCGAATATGTGCATACTTTACCTTTATTCCCTGGTGATTCTTGTAAAATCTGAGATTCTAGGCTGTTTTCCTTTATGAACATTTCATCTGCACTTGTGTTATGTAGTTTATGAGATGTCAAAGTGCCGTCACTTACCCATGATTGAGTTCTGCTCAAGCTATCAGCTTCCTCGAGCATGTCGCCTTTTAGCTCAATGATACTCACACAGACATCCTCCTCCACACCACTATGGTTTGCAACTTCAGTTGACGTCTTGTTTTCAGTGCAACCCTTAATTCGAGTTTGAAAATCAGAACCTTCTTCCAAGTTTTCAGGCATTTCAGTTATATTCAAAGCTTCACAGCTATGCAAAACTGTACCTGTGCATTTCTCCTTATCTTTCAAGAGTTCTTCCTTAACACTGTGATGTTCACTAGAGTCAGGTGCAAATGTTTGGCTATCATCGTACGTTCTTTGAAATGTTCTCTTTTCCACACTTGAGTTTACTTCACTTTCTGGCTTTAGGAAGTAGCCTTCTTCAGCAGGTTTTTCTACACATTGACTCACCAAAAAGGAATCATTGTCCATTTCATGCAACTCTAATGATAATTTAAAGTTACCACTCACATTGTGTTCCCCCTGTTTAGTATTTATTTCCCTTACAACACCTGAGGAATGCCTACTTAAACCAGACGGTACAATCTCAGAATCATGACTTCCCTTTATTTGTCCTGAATTACACACTCCAGTGTTTAACAGTACACTGGAAACACAATCACTGTGTTTCATGTTTTCTGATTTAGGGCTGTATCGGTCCTCTTCAGCAGCATCTGCAAAATTTACAGAATCACAAGCTCTATGGAGTGATTTATTCCAACTGATAGCATTACCTATAGCATCCACCTCCTCCTGTCGATTCTCAGGGACAACTTCACTGTATACTTTCGCTTTTAAGCCATCTGTTACTGTACTGTCAGTATTTAACCTATGCACCTCACACGTGTTAGCCAGTAAGTTATGATAAGACGACTTGATGTCTGTGCTACAATATTCCTTTGTTTCCCTTTTCTGCACGTTTGATCTATCGTCTTTTTTATACTCAAACAGTTCTTCCTGTGAATTAAACTTAGCTTCCACTTGTGCCGACTGCTGCACTGGAAATTCCTCCCCAGTGTCTAGAGGTCGTGCCATACTGCACATTCCTTCATCAGTAACAGCTGAGTTATCTACGTCTGCTGCAGCCTCTTCATACACAGTAGCTGGCACCTCTTCATCCCCTTTCAGATCTTCAGCATCTACAACACAAATACTGTAAAACTCCCTATCTTTTGTATTTTGTCTGTTGTCTACATCAAGATAGGAAAAAGTTGGAGACATCTCTCTCTGTGAACTTGAAACTTTTTGTAGGCTGTCACTCTTGCTGTCTTCAACATTTACTGTTGCTTCATTCTGCCTTGAATGGTCACATGTAACTGCACAGTCCTCCAGAAAATTTCTATTTAAGGAAATTTCACCCTGTAAGCCTTTGTCTAGGATGCCTGGTACACGTGAAGTAGAAATACAATCAAACAAGCAATGCTCTTCTGCAGCTACATTTTCATTATTAATATTACTATTAATATTTTTTGTATTGTTCATGTGCTGACTATTACTATTAGATTTTTTAGGTGCTCTTTTTTTAATAACCCGATCTTTCTTTTCTTCACTTTTCTGAAGATTTCCATACGTACCAGAGACCTTCAGGAGGTGACTAAAGGAATTAAAGAAGCTAAAAGGTCTGTCATACGTTCTCCTAGAGCTCTCACAGGGAGTATT